TTGAGATAAAGGGTTGGGGATTATGAGAGGCAGAACCAGTAAAGAATCTCTCACATCAGGGCACTATGCAATGCAGAGACCTCTGAAGAACTACAAAGAACTGTCCCTTGAAAGAGTTAGTATTCATATGCCTGCAACACAGTGGCATTAATAACCCATCAAGGCATTAAAAGCCTGCCCACTGCAAATGCTGGATTTCAATATTGATTCTGCCATTGACTAGCCATGTGAGCTTGGGCACCTCTCCAAGCTTCAGTTTCATCATCTGTAAAATGGGGATAATAAAAGTACTCATCGAGTTGTGCAGATTAAATATAAGTTCATACACACACACACACACACACACACACACACACACACACACACACACACACACAGCTTTGGCACTGGGAATGTACTTTGTAATTGTTAGCATTATTATCATTACTCAGAGAAGCAGCAACAATCAACAAAGGACTAAGACATTTCCTATTGAAGAAGAGACATTTGCTTCCTTCTCTGTAAATCCTCTTCTCCTTCAACATGCCAAGGAGGAGAGAAGAGAAGGAAGGGAAGGGAATACAACAGCATCAAACCACATTTCATTTACTCTCCAAGTTTCTGAATGAAAGACTGGCTGGCAGTGGGGAGAGTGAAGCAGATGAGGTTTAAATTAGATAAGAGAGTGGAGTTTTAAACTGGATCAGATCAGCTTGTGGTTTTTAATCTCTTAACATTACTTGGAAATTATGGAATCTGCTTAAATGCTTGTAAAGGATTTACTCCCCAAAGGAAAAGGAGATTGTAGAAAACATAATCCCTGGTCCCCAGTGATTGGAGAAAGATAACATCATTTTCTCTGTGTACCTGTCAAGTTTAAATTGTTCGATACACTGGTTATACATGTAATCTAAGAACTTTGTTATCTCTGGCTGCTATTTAATTTCTGAATCATTCAAAGTTGTTCTGCAATCAACGATGGACTTTACGAACAAAGAAACAACAAAAAAAGCTTTTGGTACAAATTAGGGTTTTAGCCAATAATGAACTCCAAAATTTTGTCCCTCTCCACATGGGTCACTCTGCTTATGGACAGAAGTCCATATCCTTCTAACAGTGAGACAATCTGGATTCCCTTGTGATGTTAGAACTAAGAACCAACAGACTCTGGAGTGACTAACGAAGGAAATGTCAAGATGTGTCTGAGATTTGCAGGACTCCAGTGCTGGAAAAGTTGCTGGACAATAGCTAAACCAACATCATAGATTTTATACCTATTTCCATTCTTAAAAAAATATATAGTAGGTTTCCTCTCTTTTGTTGAGATAAGCAGGTTGGCCTGTACGACGGTCATTTTGATCATCTGAGAGATGTTGCCAACGCAGTCCACAAATTATAAATTAGAGTTAGAACTTAAAAATTTTACTGAACTGAGGAAAAGGCCTGCAGAGATCTCTTAGACACTGACAATGACCAAAGGATATGAAGTAGGATGAACAAAGCTCCACATCAGTGCCAAACTCTGGGAAAAGGGACACCTACATGCTCCAAACCTCATGGCAATTCTGCCACTGTGCAGACAGAATGATGGAAGGGAGACATAGGAAATTCTTCCAGAGAAAATGGTATATAATTTGGAGGGGTAAAGGCAGATTCTAATAGCAGCTGAGCATGGAGACCTATTGGAACGGGAGGGAGCTGAGGTTATGTATATGAAAGAGATCTCATTTTAAGATGCAAAAGGAAGGTTCAATAATTTGGAAATGAACCAATGCCAAAGAGAATCCAGCCTTAGTATTTGGAAGGAGATAATAAGCTTAGATAGGAAATTTCTGTAACCACATATTCTTTTCCTTTGGTGGTGGTGGTGGTGGTAGTGAGATGGGGAAGGGATCCAAGAACCTTGCAATTATAAAGTGCTTTTATCTCAAAACTAGATTTTTAAAAATTCCCAAATTTTTCAACAGTTACCAATTTTTGTAGTATCTTTTTTTTTTTTTTTTTTTCTTTTTCCGGGTCCGGCAATGGTTCGCAACCCTCAGTGTCGCCCCCGTACTGGACCGGGCCCGGCACCGGGATCGCAACCCTC